CGTTTGCGGAAGCGCAGAGTAACAGCCGAGCCGAGCCGTGTTTTAATAATTGCATGGGATCCTCGTAAGTCCCGCAGCTATTGTTTCGAATAACAGCCATATCGTACTAATTCATATATATATATATATATATATATATATATATATATATACCAAATGAGTTTTGGAAAGGAAATGGTCAAAACTCGTTCCAAAGATATCAAAGCGTTAATTTGAATATCATACTTTGTCAGCTTTCGGTGACCAGTAGTTTCCTTCAGTTCCAATGAACTAAAAGATTTAAATATTTGAAGAAAACTGAAAATTTTCAGTCTGTGCTTGGAATGTGATGTTACGAGCAGAGTGGATACGCAGCACCAAGAATTACGAATTCATATCTCCAATTTTTATCCCCTTTATGAAGCTTCAAGTTACTCTGAATATTGCACGTATCTTCGATCCTGATTCTTTTTTAAAATTTTGACGAGTTCTAACACTCCAGTTCTATTGTTCTGCCTTTTCCCCCCATTTTGATATTCTCGAAAATTAAAGAAACACAAAAATCATGTGCACTTCCGTGTGGCAGTTCGTTCGAATATGATTCGGCTAATATAATTTTACAGTATTGTTTGTGAATCTATTCCCGTGTACCAGCTAGAAACAATTATCACGAATGTATTAGAGCAGGTAATACCTCAGCGCTTTTTCCTACGGCTAACTGCGAAGATTTTTAAAAACTTTTTCAGGTGCCATTGGTTTCATTGATTAGAAGTTCACGGCTATTAATCATAGGAACAAACTTAGCTGCACAAATTCGTGAATAAAATGTAGTGCTATCGGATTATGAGCTAAAAGACACAGAGAGGGTTTAGCAGAGACCAAGTTTTTTCAAATCCATCTCACACTAAGCGCACAGGTACACCAGCACTTCATATCACCTTCGTTTTCGGTATTGATACATTGATGTTCAGGTCCACTTCCTTACTTCGGGTGTTAAATTCACACTGCTTGCAACGGGAACTTTGTCAGCTGTAAAGCGTAATGATTCAGCTGTTCGCCATTGGCGGTCAAATCGTCTGACTTATGTGGCATAAATTTCAAATGAAAATTAAGCATACAAAATTTTGCTTGAAATGGAAAATACCCATCATGAAAAAGCTATTTTTATTTACTTAAAAACAAACAACAGCGCTCCGTACACAGCCACTGAGTAATGAAGCCAGTCGATGCTTAAAATGCACACACCAATTCGTCGAGAACAGGAAATACACACCGTATCTGACGTGGATGATCTTCAAGACGTTGTTTTTCAAAAAAAAAAAAAATGAAAAATAGGCCCCAGCATGAAAGAGTCGTGGTCAACGAAAGGCAGGAGAGAAATGTATTTGCCAACTGCTCCACTTACTGCTTTTCTGTTCAAAAACAAGAAATTACATATAAACACATATTCTGAAAAAAGAATCGACTCTGGCGAAAAACAGAAATTTCGCTGAAACACTAGGCCCTTCTCGTTAAATCCCTCATCTTACGAGAAGTCATATATATTTTTCAGATTTTCCACCGCAAAAAAAAGCAAAATATGATAAAGCGAATGTGGTGTGCAGGAAGGTAAAGTGAACTGGTAAAATGAACATAGCAGTCAGTATAACACATAAGTAACAAAAATGTGAGCAAACAAATTATCAATTTGCACACATAACAAAAAGCACAGCTGCCCAAAATTTCAAGCACATAAGGAAGCATGAAAATTTAACGGTATTTTGAGGATACAAAATACTGCAACATATAGCTTCCGCTTAGTAACCGTATAAGAAAAAGAGACGAACTTTCGTGCGAGATTCACGATGCACATTCAAAAATACGCTACCGGACTTACTACAGTGGCCAGCAGTGCGCTTTATATCAAATCCGAACGGCAGCTTTGGATCCACCGATGAAAAATCCACTAATTCATCCAAATTTCACCGATTTGTTTCAACATAAAACTGACGGGAATGACAAATCGAGCACGAACAGGGACAAAATGGCATTCAGTTCACTTCAGATAAAAAAAGAAATCGTCAATAACACTGTCAACGGACGGCTGGTGCTAGAAAATGTTATTACGGAAGTCGCCCTTCCCCCTCTCCCCCCCTCCCCAGCATCTCCTTCCAACAGAGAAACAAAAATCGCGGAGGTGGGAGAAAGTGAACAAATGCAATATACGAGAGGGGTAGTAACGCATAGCCACCAACTTCTGCAGCAACACATCGAAAAATTCTACTGGATAACAAAATGAATGACGGTGATTGTGAATTTTTCAGAATTTTTTGCAAAAAAAAAAAATCGTTCAAATTCTTTTCTTGAAAAACAAATACAAGAATAGACCAGTAACGGTGAAAGCGTATGCCCACAGCAACGAATCTTTGGTTTTCCTACGCTCAAATTCATCTTCTAATTGATACAGCCGTGTCGACAAACGTCCCAGCTGGCGCCTCATCAATTTCAGCTCACGTAATGGATCTTCGTCCACTGCAGCTGACGTTGAAAGCTCCTGAAAAGCAAATCTCGGAAAATGACATTTTCATCACAAAAATTTTGATATGTTATGAATGAAAACTGTTCAAGGAAACTCTCCCAACCGCAAAAAGCTGATTTCGAGATTTCTGAATCGAACTGCACTCAGTCTGAACTACCCTGAGTGTCAGCAAAGATCTTGACGAAGCCAAAGCTGCACTGCTAATTTGTTGCAAAAGGAAGAAGGAGCAAGTAACAAGGAAACGAAGTTGGAGCCTTAATCCCCTTCGCCTTGTGCAGTTGCCCTTCGGTTTCCAATATGTAAATGCTCCGTCTCTTGGCTCGAGTTCCCCCCCTCCGTGATAATGTGATAATTGAAAATGAAATGTGAGTGTAGTTTTTTTGTTTCACCTAATTTGGGAGCGCGCGGCGGCAGCTTGGAGCTGCTGCCGGACGAACCACGGGCTAGTTGGACTTTTCTTCTAATTGCTTTTTTTTCCTTTTTGTGCGGTTGAACTAATAAAGAAGTGAATCTATTGCTCGGTGTTGCACTTCTCCGCTAGGCAGGGCTCCATCTTCAGCTCCTCTCCCGCCCGAACGTTACAAATTACTTCAAAACCCTTGATGCACTCGATGGTTTAGGAAGAGGAAAAGACGGAGTGAGGGAGGTACAGGAGGGAAAAATGCACATTTATATGCACTGTTTTCTACTACACCATGAAATATGTGAAGCAAAATGGTGCATTATCGTGCATCTGAATTTGAGTGACGCAAAACAAGAGATTCCAAAGCCTGTAGTGGCACAGAATAGTTATAAAACTTTCGAAATAATGGAAATCCGAAATTTCCAGCACTTGCAAAAACACATTTGTTAAATTTGCATCCGAACAGGAACGAAACGAAACTGACGTATTTACACAGAGCGCATGTGCTACACGTTGAGTACACCAAACATGAATAGACACGCACCTCACACGGTGAATCTTTGGGCGGCGGTGTTTCATCCTCAATTTCTGGACACGGTCCTTTATCGAGTGTTACTGTGCCGAGCGGTGCTGCTAACTCCTAGAAAACATGCATTTCAAAACCAATAAACAGCAACGCGCACCAGACTAGCCGGTGCGATCATGCTTTTTGTACAATTCAGCCCATCGAACGACTGCCTATTAATGATTTTCACTGCTTTGTACTTTAGTCTATGCAAA